GAGGGGACGGCTCGGCCGAGGGGCCGACGGGCGTGGGGCCGCAGCTTGCGGGGCGGGGGGCCGGGAATTGGCCGAGGCCCCCTGGGCACGGCAGTTGTCTCGAACTCTCCATCTCCGCCTCAGCCGGGGCCCAGCGCCGCGGGAGAGCCCGGCGGGATCCGCCTGAGGTAAGTGGACTTGGCCAAGTGGGCTGTCTCGCCCCTCAGACCACAGCCTTAGGTCAGGAGCGGAGGGTGAGGGAGACGTGTTCGTAGAAAACGGAAAAATATATGAAAAAAAAAGCAACAGGCAGGGCGGATCAGGAAACTCCTGTCGTTAATGTTCCCACTGTGAGGAGACTTGTCCAAGACGCAAACTTGGTTAGGTTCTTCAGACTCGGAGACGGCTGAGAAGCTGCTCCTTCCGTCTGGTTCTGAGCTCCCTCTGGTGGCTGCTCGCAGAGATGCAAAGCGAGGCTACAGGTGACGGGTGGGAGCAACTGCTGCCCCTCTGCCCCCACAACGGGGTGATTTCTCCTTTGGGAATAATGATATGTCTTAGGCGTTCCCCTTACAGGGACGCCTTCAGATCCTGTGAAAGCTAAATCCTCAACCCGATAATAAAAAAGTCCTTGCAACTTTTCCTTTGTGAAGGGAAATGACAAGGATAGCAGAAGTCATCTTTGCATTAACCTCATTTGAATAAAAACATTTCTAAATGACTAAAGCACGCCACAGTTAAAATATGAATACTATCAAGAAAGTTGTATCTTGTACTTGATTGTCATTTATTGGATCCTGTCATGTGCATTTAAATTGATAGTAAGGGGGAAAAATCACTTGAGCTAATAACTTAGATTGTGCTCAATAACAGATTTTACTGAGATTCTCAGATATCTATCAAGTGATTGTTGAACATTTGAATCATCAGTTTATATATACTCCCAGCATACCTGTATCCTCAGAGAATTTCTTTGTTTTTTTTTTTTTCCCCCAGAAAGGAGTATCATGAAAGAGGAACAGAAAAGAGATGTCATTGTTGGTGAAAGGGAAGCTTGCTTTCCCAATTCGTGGATGCTTCATGATGGGAAGAGGAAAAATACCTAGATGGCTGAAGAGATTAGATTTTTACAGTTGTACAGCTGAAGCTGATAAAAGAATATATGAAAATGCTTTTTTGGGGTCATAATAGGCTGCTGAATAAGTAACCCTGAAAAAAACAAATTTGAAATGAGAGGCAGGAATTTTGATTTTTTTTGTAAGCCATGTAGGACTTTGAAGACTTGCTGAGGGTGTTTTTCTCCCAAAAATGGAAGAAGAAAAAGTTCTGAAAGCAAAAAGAGTAAAAAGTTGAGAGGATCAGCAACTGAGCCCACCCCAAGAATTCCTTCATCAGCTTCTGTAGGGAAACACATAAGCACATCTGACATGTGGGGTGGTGATAACCAAGTTTCCAGTGATGCTTTCTTATGCTAGGAATGACCCATACTTTGGTTTTGGGAGTGCTTTTTCTTCTTTCTATTTCATAATGTGTGTTCCAACTCTTCATGTTAGACAAAAGATTTATGTAAAGGAAGTAAATGCTGAATTCATAGTACATTTGACTGTCGTACTAATGTTCCTTGTATATTACGGAAAAATTGGAGATTTTAACATTCTTTGAAATTGTATTGGAAGCAAAACTGTGTCAAGGACACAGATGTCTGATACAAGTTTCTCTTTTTGGCAACTGCACTTGATTTGAATGAGCCGAGTATCAGCTGGATTTCACAGCATAGATGATTTGTTTTATCAAGGCCTTAAATGTATAGTTTTTACTAACCAGATGGGAAACACATTGAGCACTGTGTTTGACATGTATGCCTAAGGAAAAGAACTCCCTGATGGATCATGGCGTTAATGTTTACAGGACATTTCTTATTTTTAGCATTAATGATGTTTGGTTTCTCTACTTTTGAAGAGTCTGTGAGCAATTACTCTGAATGGGCAGTTTTCACAGATCAGATAGAACAGTTTAAGACACAGAAAGTACAAGATTTCAGACCTAGCCAAAAGCTGAAGAAAAATATGCTTCATCCAAGTTTGTATTTTGATGCTGGAGAAATCCAAGTAATGAGACAGAAGTCTCACACAAGCCATTTGCATCTTTTTAGAGCTATCAGAAGTGCAGTGACAGTTATGCTGTCCAATCCGACATACTACCTACCTCCACCCAAGCATGCTGATTTTGCTGCCAAGTGGAATGAAATTTATGGCAACAATCTGCCTCCATTAGCATTGTACTGTTTATTATGCCCAGAAGACAAAGTTGCCTTTGAATTTGTCTTGGAATATATGGACAGGATGGTGGGCTACAAGGACTGGCTAGTTGAGAATGCACCAGGGGATGAGGTTCCAGTTGGCCATTCCTTAACAGGTTTTGCCACTGCCTTTGACTTTTTATATAACTTATTAGATAATCACCGAAGACAAAAATACCTGGAAAAAATATGGGTTATTACTGAGGAAATGTATGAGTACTCCAAGGTCCGCTCATGGGGCAAACAACTTCTCCATAACCACCAAGCTACTAATATGATAGCATTACTCACTGGGGCCTTGGTGACTGGGACAGATAAAGGATCTAAAGCAAATATATGGAAACAGATTGTAGTAGATGTGATGGAAAAGACAATGTTTCTATTGAATCATATTGTTGATGGCTCTTTGGATGAAGGTGTGGCCTATGGAAGCTACACATCTAAATCAGTAACACAGTATGTTTTTCTGGCCCAGCGCCATTTTAATATCAATAACTTGGATAATAACTGGTTAAAAATGCACTTTTGGTTCTATTATGCTACCCTTTTACCAGGCTTCCAAAGAACTGTGGGTATAGCAGATTCCAATTATAATTGGTTTTATGGTCCAGAAAGCCAGTTAGTTTTCTTGGATAAGTTCATCTTAAGGAATGGAGCTGGAAACTGGTTAGCCCAGCAAATTCGAAAGCACCGACCTAAAGATGGACCAATGGTTCCCTCCACTGCACAAAGATGGAGTACTCTTCATACTGAATACATTTGGTATGATCCCCAACTAACTCCACAGCCTCCTGCTGAATATGGTACTGCAAAATTGCACACATTCCCAAACTGGGGTGTTGTTACTTACGGAGCTGGGTTGCCAAATACACAGACCAATACCTTTGTGTCTTTTAAATCTGGTAAACTGGGAGGGAGGGCTGTATATGACATCGTTCACTTTCAGCCATACTCCTGGATAGACGGATGGAGAAGCTTTAACCCAGGACATGAACATCCAGATCAGAACTCATTTACTTTTGCCCCAAATGGGCAAGTCTTTGTTTCTGAAGCTCTTTATGGTCCCAAGTTGAGTCATCTTAACAATGTGTTAGTGTTTGCTCCATCACCCTCGAGCCAATGTAATAAACCCTGGGAAGGTCAGCTAGGAGAATGTGCACAGTGGCTCAGGTGGACTGGTGAGGAGGTTGGTGACGCAGCTGGGGAAATCATCACTGCTTCTCAACATGGGGAGATGATGTTTGTGAGTGGGGAAGCAGTGTCTGCTTATTCTTCAGCAATGAAACTAAAAAGTGTATATCGTGCTTTGCTTCTCTTAAATTCCCAAACTTTGCTGGTTGTTGATCACATTGAGAAGCAAGAAGATTCCCCAATAAATTCTGTCAGTGCCTTCTTTCATAATCTGGATATTGATTTTAAATACATCCCATATAGGTTTATGAACAAGTATAATGGCGCTATGATGGATGTGTGGGATGCACACTACAAAATGTTTTGGTTTGATCATCGTGGCAATAGTCCTATAGCTGGTATCCAGGAAGCAGAACAAGCTGCTGAATTTAAAAAACGATGGACCCAATTTGTTAATGTTACATTTCCAATGGAATCTACAGTCATGAGGATTGCATATATCTTTTATGGACCATATGTTAATCTTTCGAGCTGCAAATTTATTGACAATTCCAAGTCTGGACTTCAAATTTCTCTCAATGTTAATAATAGTGAACATGTTGTTTCCATTGTAACTGACTACCATAACCTGAAGACTAGGTTCAGTTACCTGGGATTTGGTGGCTATGCCAATGTGGCTGATCAAGGCCAAATCACCCGATTTGGTTTGGGCACACAAGCAATAGTAAAGCCTGTAAGACGTGATAGAGTTATTTTTCCCTTTGGATTTAAATTTAATATAGCAGTTGGATTAATTCTTTGTGTTAGTCTGGTGATTTTAGCTTTTCAGTGGCAGTTTTACATTTCTTTCAGAAAGCTGATGCGGTGGATACTAATCCTTGTTATTGCTTTGTGGTTTATTGAGCTGCTGGATGTGTGGAGCACTTGCACTCAGCCCATCTGTGCTAAATGGACAAGGACAGAGGCCAAGGCAAGCAAGAAGACCTTGTCATCTGAAGAGCACCAAGTCAGTCTTCCCGATGTTGTCATTACCTCACTTCCTGGTTCAGGAGCAGAAATTCTCAAACAACTTTTTTTCAACAGTAGCGATTTTCTCTACATCAGGGTCCCGACAGCCTACATTGATATCCCTGAAACTGAATTTGAGATTGACTCATTTGTAGATGCCTGTGAATGGAAGGTGTCAGATATCCGCAGTGGTCATTTTCGTTTACTCCGAGGATGGTTGCAGTCCTTAGTCCAAGACACAAAACTACATTTGCAAAACATCCATCTGCATGAACCCAGTAGGGGAAAACTGGCTCAATATTTTACAACAAATAAAGACAAAAAAAGAAAATTGAAAAGGAGAGAGTCTTTGCAGGAACAAAGAAGTAGAATGAAAGGGACCTTTGATAGAGATGCTGAATATATTAGGGCTTTAAGGAGACACCTGGTCTCTTACCCAAGTGCACGACCTGTGCTTAGTTTAAGCAGTGGGAGTTGGACATTAAAGCTTCATTTTTTTCAAGAAGTTTTAGGAGCTTCACTGAAGGCACTGTATGTAGTAAGGGACCCTCGGGCATGGATTTATTCAGTGTTATACAGCAGTAAACCAAGCCTCTACTCCTTGAAGAATGTGCCAGTGCACTTAGCTAAACTGTTTAAGATAGAGGGTGGGAAAGGCAAATGTAACTTAAACTCTGGCTATGCTTTTGAATATGAATCATTAAGGAAAGAATTAACAAAATCCAGACCTAATGCAGTCTCCTTGTTGTCTCATCTCTGGCTAGCAAACACAGCAGCAGCCCTGAGAATAAATACAGATTTGCTGCCTACCAGCTACCAGCTGGTCAAGTTTGAAGATATTGTGCATTTTCCTCAGAAAACCACTGAAAGAATTTTTGCCTTTCTTGGAATTCCTTTGTCTCCTGCTAGTTTAAACCAAATATTGTTTGCCACCTCCACAAACCTTTTTTACCTTCCTTATGAAGGGGAAATATCACCAACTAATATTAATGTTTGGAAACAAAACCTACCAAGAGATGAAATTAAACTGATTGAAAACATCTGCTGGACATTGATGGATCGCCTAGGATATCCAAAGTTTATGGACTAAATGCTGCAGGTCAGCAGAAATTTGCACTAATGCTTTCCAACCCAATTTGTGGATATGAATTAGAGGAGTTTGTTTATTCTTGTACTGTGTGTGTGTGTGTGTGTGTGTGTGTGTTTAGTCAGTTACTTGAACAGAAAGATTATTTTAAAAATAGACACCATATTTGGCCTAGCATGATTTATTTTTATCTCGCCACTTTCCTTGTCTCTGCTTTTGGAACTTTTTCTGCTAGATATTTCTGCTACAGAGGTGTAGATGAAATTATATCACAGGGGTCAGGGGAGATGGAAAGATTTTAAAGGTTTTTGTCTTAACTCTTCATCTGTAACTGCTAATTTATCTTGGGACCTCAAACACTGCTAAAGGCCTTGCAGTTGCTGCTTTACCCAAGCATCTTTTGCTTTCAAGATAGACTACAAAAGATCCTTATCTTTTTTAAAAAAAGGTCTTCTAATGTATTTATCGTGCACACACACACACAAAAAGCTTTTATTCTGTGTAATATTCAGTAGTGATACCACTGCAAAAATGTCAAAAGCTCCTATCAAAATTACAGGATTCCTTTTCAGAAATACAATGGAAATATAGAATGGACATGTTTTATCGAGGTCAGAAACACTGACCTTAAGAGCCCCCTTCATTAAAAAAAAAAACTTAGAAATAATAAGGAAATACATCTTGGGCTAGTTTGGGTACCAAGGCCTGGTAGATTATTTTAGTTATTTTAGATGTGGTTGCATGTTCAAAACTTTCCTTTCGATTCTTTGCCTCCCTGAAGCCACAGCTGTTCATCATCATGCTACTTGGCCCCTATCCTGTCTCTTATCAAGCAAAACAATAGTTAATAATTGCTAAATATTTGTAGGGGAATTTTTTCCCCCTGATGATTAATTTTGCATTAAAGCCTGACACAGATTTAGGATCAAATTTCTTTTTTGTGGAATTATCACTGTACCACTCCAAAGGAAGTACCACTGCTGCCTGTGTTTTTTCAGACTGGCAACAGAATTGGAAAACTGCCTGACTATCCTGCATCCTTTTGAATGAGTTTACAGATAGACTGCCAGTGTCTGCAAAAGTTAAAGGCAAATGGGAGATGATGTCAGAGGCATCTGTTTCCTTTGCCATCTGCATCTTATAAATATAGTCGTCATGAAATTGTGGTTTATTTTATTCTGGTAGGCTCTGGAATGAAAATGCTATGCCATTATAAGCCAGTGGAGTAATTACAATGCAGTGGATGGGAACTATTAGCAATGTCAATACTTGACGAAAATCTCTGTACAGATTCTAGTCTTCTTCCTGCTATTTCAAACTGTAGTTCCCCAAAGCACTCTAACACTTGGGAGTCTGTCATTCTGACCTAGATAAAAGTGATTCTTTCTCAGTAGTTTGTTATTATGTCAAAATGTGCCTCCAGAGTGATAAAGCTGTGGATATGTTACATTCCAGCAAAACCTAACTTGGTTGTTATTTTTCTTCCATTATAGTGTGAATGGAAACTACCCACCCCAGCATTTTCTCCCTTCCCACAGCTCACTGCTTTCTCTCTGTACTGTCACAATGAATGAAAATCATTGTATGGGCTGAGAGTGCACCGAGGACCTGAGTCTAGTGCTATTATTCTCAAGGAAGATTATTCTTTCTATCTCAGGGTTATCAGCAAGCATGTAAAATTGCTACATGGGTGATAACACCATTTCCCTTACTGGTCAGAGTCTCAAGCGTTTGCTTTCAGTTCCCAAGATGTATGATCTTGAACCAGATCAAATAAAAAGGCTCTGGGTTGGAAGTACTTTTAGGGCTGATCAAGGTAAGAATTACTGATGTGTAACTTGTACAGGTAACAAGAAAACAAGCTACCACTGCCTTAGGAAATTGTACAGACTCATGCCTGCAGAAGAGAGCTGGGGTGAGTACATGGAGGGATTAGACCATGAAGACAGAGGGAGAAACAAAAAGAGTAATTCTGAGAATGAATGTGGGGACAAATAAAACATTACTAATAGCAAAAGGAAAGCACGTACTTGGGAAAATTATCTTCACAGTGTGTCCTAACTTTGACCACCCCCCACTCCCCATTAGCAATACAAGTTGGATTTCCTTGTCTGTACTTCCACTCCAAAGGAAAATTTCAGACATGTCCCTTGCTACTTTTTTTCCTATTAAAATAATAAGTTTGTCACAGAAGTCTTAAAATCTAGGTTCCCATGTGAGGATCGTTAGGGTAAGGGGATGACTCAGTTATCCACCTATGTGTTCATGCCTGGCCCCCATGCCTGGTAATCTGCTCGGCCACAGTCACCAGTGCTTTCTGTGCACCCTAGGTCCTCCCTGCGTGCAGAGGGCATGCACTCTATGAGCAATTTGAATCGCTTCTACGTTGATTTTCACTTTTTCCAACTTGGAAATAGTTAATGGAGGATTATCATTGATATTTGATATGTGTAAAGGAAACACTTGTCAAGTGGTGTATCTAAAATCTCTTCATTAACTCTGCTAATTGGGATAAAAGCTTTTGTGAAAACAATAGCATTTAAACCTTGAATTTTGAAAGGATGTCCTAATTTACTAACCAAAGTAGCATAGATGTGAGTATAATTACTTGGTTTTCAAAAGTTTCAAACTAAATTTTTCTACTTTTAGGGTGAAAAAGGCCGTATTCAGAGTTGAATTTACTGAAATGAATTCAGTCAGGACAGGGAATAGGAAGTGACGTCTGTGAATGTTTATTGAAACCTAAGGATTCACAAGGTTTAACAAGATGGCATGAGCACGTATATCTAGATGCCAAAATATTCAATGTGTAATTGACTGGGAGTGGGGTTTCAGTGGTAATAGTTTTGGCCTTCCATGCAGGAAACCACGCTTGGATCTCTGGACAGTACACACTGCACAACCACCACTCTTCTGTCAGTGGGGGCTTGCATGTTGCTATGATTGTGTACAGGTTTCATTGGAGCTAAGTGAGCCAACAAAAACCCTATAGATCACAACAGTCAGATCCACAACCAATCAAGGGGATAGTGCAGTGATTGCTTCCCTTGTGCATAAGATGACCAGGAACCCAAGACCAACTCCACAGCAACTCAACAAGAAATGGCCTTCTGTTTACGTCAAATTCAGAGAGTTCCCAGGACTGGCAGAAGAACTGTCACATCACCCTGTGCTGAGGTATTCAAAGAGTCCTCCCTCACCATGTGCCACCTCCATACACACACACACTACCATGTCTGAGAGCTTTTGTGAAAATGCTACTCTTCCTCTGTGCCACTTACTTTTGGTTGACATTGATCAGTGCAAACATTTAAAACTTTATCATGCAAAATTAAAAACTTTAGATATTCTTGATGTATAAAGTATATCACATTCAGTTACCTATAAATGAGTAAACATGTAATTATAGTTTTAAAATTGCTGTGTTTGATTGGCTTGGTTGTCTTTGATCATAATTGGAAAATTATTCACTGACTGCATTTTGGAAAAAACAAACACAAGGCAGTGTGTTAGAACACAACCTTCAGAGGTAAGGGTACCTGAGAGGCTACTGAGAGGCTAAGAGACACTAGGGAGTATAATGTGTGAAGTATTTCCTGCTTGTTCAAATGTTGATCGTAGTATTCTATTACATGTAAAATAGTTCTTAGGGTTGTTTTTTTTCCCCCCTCCCAATAACTGACTGAAAAAGTACCACTTCATTTTATCTTGGCAGAAAAATGTCCAAATAACTTTATCAGACCTAACTGGCTTTTTGTACAAAGGATGATAGGAACTTCAAACAATAGGTTCTAACATACCCTGTTCTGTAGATCCTTGACGTACAATTTACATTGACTTATGTTGTATTTAGACCACTTAACAAATGCGTACATGTTTAATTGATTGTATTTACAAAGATAGGTTCCACTAAAGCTTCCAAAGGATGGTTTTTGTTCTTGTTTGTTTTTTGTTTAATTTTTCTTTCACATGTTATGCACTGATGTACTAAACATAATATAAACTGAATATCATTCACTAGTTTATCAGATCTATACATATTACCAAGGTTCCCTGGTGGTGCGAATGGTTTGTTTTGACTACTAACTGAGAAGTTGACAGTTTGAACTCACCCAGCAGGGCTGCAGAACTAAGGCCTGGAGATCTGCTTCTGCAGAGATTGCAACCTAGAAGATCCTATGTAGCAGTCGTACTCTCTAATCCATGGGGTTGCTATGAGTTGGCATCAATGGCAATTTTTCTTTTTTTAATATAAGTAATAAGACTCCTCTCTGACTTACAGCAATAAATAAATGAAATAAACCTAAAAGCAGTCTGGCTATGTTTGGGATAATAGTTTTCTCATACCCTGTTCTTTAGGTCTCTGAGTAAGTATAAGGGTGTTAGGATTTTGTATGGGCTGAGAAGGCAGAAGTTGAGAAAGGTGGGGCAAGTTGAATACTGACACCCAACCCCATAATTTCAGCATCTAAACTTGCATTGCCCCAGTGATGTGCAAACCTGGCATCCTCCTAACTAAATTCCAAGTCCTCACTCTATCTTAGACTCACTCAGTTTCACTTTTCTCATGTATGACCTCAACTTTCTAAATGACGAGAATGTCCCTGTCATATGTACCTGTGGCCTACATGTGCTCCTTCTGCCACTGATAAGAACATCATACCGGTAGGATAGTACGAGGGAAGGTGAATCTTCCTGCATTTCGTGGCTGTTCTGTGAGACATACTAAATAGATGATGCCCACGGTTGAGGCAGTAAAGGTTTATTAAGAGTGAAGAATCTATCAAGAATTAATCACTTAGTGTGTGGTTCATATTGAACCATAACATTTTCATATATCCCATTACAATCCTCCGAACAAAACCAGTTGCCATCGAGTCAACTGACCCCATGTGCTTCAGTAGAGCTGTATTCCATATGGTTGTCAGTTTTCTTCAAGGTGCCTCTGGGTGGACCTGAGACTACCTTCCAGTTAGCAGCCAAGTTCATTAACTGTTTGCACTACCTAAGAACACATACGGTAGTTATTTTACAAGTAAATCTGAAATATCAAATGATTTGTCCAAAGTAAGCTGGTAAGTGGCTTGACCAAGATTTGGTCAGTTTTTCCAAGTCTAAAGCCATGAGAATATGTTTTTATGATTCATTCTTCCATTCACTCATTCACCATTCTTTTGAATAGCTGATAATGAAGTATTGATAAGAGCAAGGAAGGACTACACAGAATGATTGACTATACTTCTGGTGAGGAATCGCCAATCTCTACAGAAATTTTGACTTGGTGGGTACTCATCAAGGAGAAAAGGAAAGGAAACACATGCCTGCCAAGTAGAAAGAACCACCCAAGGAAAGGTACTAAAATGTGTTACCTGTTCTGTAATAGGTATGGGCTTTTGTTTTCCCAAAAAAAACAGAGAGTAGTTATGTGGAAAGGGAGTGGGTTTTTGAATTAGGAGAATCATTACTGGTAAATTGAATGGAGATTACAATCTATTTTTCTTAATTATGTTTGACTCTGTATCGAATGCAGGGAGTGTATTGTTACAGCACCTACCATCAATGAGTAGTTCTTCCAAAAGGAAGTTAAGGTGTTGATAGAATATTGTTGTTGTTATGTGCTGTCCAGTCTGACCCGACTCTTAGCGACCCTTCCATGGGTTTCAGAGGCAGTATCACTACGGAAGTAGATTGCCCCATCTTCCTTCTGAGGAGTGGCTGGTGGGTTTGAAACGCCAGCCTTCTGGTTAGCAGTCAAGTGCCTTAGGCACTATGCTACCAGAGCTCCTGCAGATAGAATAAATAAGTGCAAATAGAACTAAACCATCCACATTACTCTCTTCACTCCCACTTGGTCAACTGCCCCATCGTATTTATAACAAAGACAAAGACATTTGAGTGGTCACTGAATATCAAGGGATGTCCTGAAGAGAAAACGATGCCTGAGGGTGGCCTGCTTCAAGTGCATGCAGATCGCAGCTAGTAATGAGAGAAGGACTAGCTCAGTGTATTCATTACTGCAGGTGCCAGCCCACCCGTAGCTTTCCTTTCCCCACCAAGTTCCTGCACATCCACAGTACCAGGCACAGTTCTTAATACTGGGAATACAATGGTGAACAGAACAGCCAAGAGTCCCACCTTTATGGACCTGACAGTCAAGTGGGGCTTATGCAAAATAGTTCTTATTCTGCTTTTTTTCTCAGAGGTTCTAGCCCCAAAGACCCTACACCAAATTGAAATGAAAACTGTTGAGTTTATGAGTAACAATCAAATGTATTCCAATAAAATTCTTTTCAAGAAAAAAGGAACAACCTTTTCTTATCCCCACTTTGTAAACAACCCCAAAATCAAGAAGAGGAAGGAAGGAGGGAGGGAGAAAGGAAAGGGCGTTTTGACCTTACATCTGAGCAGAGTAGGATGAACAAGGAGAGTCTTTCCGATCAGAATTATGGGAATTATTCTATAAACTACTTAAAAGATTCTTTGAAACATTAGTGTAGTTAAGATTGGGGGGGGGGGAGAAAGATAAGTTATAATTTGAGCAGATCTCTGTAGTGCACGGCAGTACTTTTCCTGTTTCTTTATAGTATTTTAATGTTGCCCTGACTTTGTAATTAAATGTCGCTTTTCTTTAGAGTGTATTTGCACTGACATTGAAGTCCACGTAAGTGTCCCAG